CCAAAATGTCTAAGACCATACCAGACATCATCTCTGTATTTGGATTCAGAACCCATTTTGATGGTGGCAAGACAACTGACTTTGGCATGACCTACAATTCTTTGGATTATGCAAGGAAAAATGAACCCAAACATAGACCTGCAAGACATGGACTGTATGAGAAGGAAAAGACCTCAAGGAAACAGTGTAAGAAATGCCAGAACAGAATGAAGAAAGGCAGGGGGACTGCAAGGCCGATACTGGTGCTGGCAAAAAGGAGTAGTAAAGATTCTGCAGTAACATTATCTGTGGTGATTGTGCAGATCTGTCATGAGAAAACTAATAAACTAAGAACTTAAAAAAATACATACCTATGTATTTTTTTAAGCCAAAAGGTTAAAAACGTTAAACACTGAATGGGCACACACTATGCTGCAGCGAGCACTATCCCAAGCATTTACTAAAGAGAATTCTCATTTATTCCTCATCACAGTCCTATAAAGTGGGTACTAAAGGTGAGGAAGCTGAGAGAGAGGTTCAATTACAGGCCCAAAGTCCAGTTTAATAAAGGCAGGTCTAGGGTCTGAACTCTTGTAGTCTGACTCCAAAACCCATTCTCTTAACCACTCGTGCTTTTTTTCCCCAGTGGTTTTAATTTTGTTCTCTCAACTAAATTACTCCTAATTGCCTTTTTGGACATTTAGTTTTTTAAAAAAAGATCTAAAAACAAATGATATTCAAAACTGTTCAGAAGAGGCTTAACACCTTAATATTTATTCTCTTAAACCTTCTTTGAGAATTGAGCATTAAAAAATTCCCATTAAAATTTCAGAAGAAAACTACCATTTCATGTAAAACATATGCAAAATTGTTTTAAAAATTTACTTTTTATCATGTAAGTTTCACCTTGCCCATTAATTTCTCTAATGTTTGCTACACTAAAAAATTCAACTTTAGAAATCCTCAGAGGAAACCCTAAAACCCCAAAAAACACACAGAAGTATGTCTTATTTTTCCATTAATTGTGGGGTGTATGAATTGGCAAAATAACTCCTGAATTGTTTTTGTAAATATACTAGTAAGAAGTACTTTACACTCCCACTTTTATCTGCAACATTGTTCCTACTTTTTTCCCCCTTCCTATTTACCACTTTATGTCCCTACAAACACCACTACACACCAATTTTTAACTTCTTGTTTGAATTTCCCCCCCTTTTAATCGAATAGACTAAGGAGAAAGTAGAAAAGCAAAGTAAACCAGAAAATAATGCCAAAAGGCAACAACAGCAGCAACTCTTTCCTCACTCCCCCATCCTACACTGAGTGGACACGCCTTTTCTTACCTCTGCAACAGAACACAACCTCCTTGGGAAAAGGGCACCCATACTGTAACACACAAGATTTACAACTTAACAAAAGTCACTTTATCGACCACAGACAGCCTTCTTGAAGCCCTACAAATGAACTTACAGTCTTGAGTGAGAATAGTAATTGCCAGAGTTCATTCAAGGCACTTCGTGAAATGTTTTCCAATTTAACACTGAGGTCAGCATGCCTCACTGGACCAAGGAGCCATAACCGAAAAACTACAGCAGAAATCTAATGTAAACTCTCACGTCTAAAAAATAAAACATAATACCATCAAAATATAGGTTTAAGAGCTGAAAAGAAATGGCTTCCACCAAAAACATCCTGGTTAGGATGATAAACCACTAACACATAACGGTGTTTTTGAGAAAACAAAATTGACATTAAAAAAAAATCCTTGCCACTTCTCCATTCTGGACTTTAATCTTGTGGTCAAAATGCAGGTATATTTTATATACTACCTGCCCTGTACCTTTGAAATGAAAAACAGGCATAAAATCCAAGCCAAGTTTGATACTAGTACACACAGTTGGGCCACAAACCTACTAAGACAAGAATCTTTATACCCTACTTAATAGGCCAGATCCTAACGCTATCCCTCATCTTCCCTGTCTGTTCTTTCACTGCATATAGCATTAAATGTTTACAAAGCACAGACAGAACATATCCAGTGAGCAATGAAGGCAACATATCTTTATCATTCCCATCACTCAGGTTATTATTAGAAATAGGTTACAGTTATATTTCCAGGACTTACCTGTTAACTTCATGGTCAATAATTTTACCAAAAAATACTTACACATAGCTTTTTATGACTGGTTCTTTTGGGGGAGAGGGGCATAGAAAAGTCATTTGATCTATCAAAGTTTTGACCTAACCATACCAAGTTAAATAAAATTTTCAAAGGATCAAGCGCAAGTATTGGAGCTCGAACATTAAGATGGAAAAACTAAAACGTAAGTCTCTTTATCCCCATTCCAACACATAAAACTTGAACTTGTTTTCTGAAATCAACCTGGAAATCTTTAAGAAAGATCTGAGTAGTAAATAAATCATTTTTATTCTGCATTAGTTGCTGACCTTAGGAATTCAGAAGTTGGGAATTAAGTGCTAATTTGTTTTGTAATGCTTTAGCATGTAAACTCATTGGATTCCAATTTTCTTTCCTATAAAATTGGCAACATGCAAACACTCTTGGTAGGCACACTAACACTACTGAAATTCCAAGCCTCAATCATTAAAAAAGTTTCTGGTCTAGAATTTGAGGCTCATTTTGACCAGTTCTAGACAAAATTCATAATCAAGAACCAAGAACCTATTTTCACATTTATAAACTACCCAGGTGACACAGGAGTCAAAGTGTAGAAAACCACAAATTTGAAATTTAAACTTTTAATAAGTGAAGTGTCTCCCTTATAAGTTGCCAGGAAATTTACACTACACATTATTGGATGCAAAAAAAAGCAAGGTGCCCAATTTGAAGTTCACAGGCGTCAGTATTTCCTTTATACCCATCTCCCCCTACCATCCCAACAAAAAACCCAGACTGATTAGTACTAAAAATTGGACACCAAAAAAATTCCTGGAGTTGAATCTTAATAAAAGGTGGAGAAAATCAGCCCTCACTACAAAAGTCTGAGAAGGGTAACTAAGATAAAATTGAATGAGTTCATCTCAATGTTGAGTGATTGTTTTTTATGAAAAAAACCTACTTGATACATTTAGGACTCATAATTATTCAAAGATAGTTCAAGCAGCAAAAGTTTTTGTATCTTAAGACAGGTGAGACACTACTAAAATGTGTTAGCTAAAATCTCCAAGTACACAGATCAAATATAGAGAATGCAGTAGAACACCTGAACAGATGTATTTGAACCACGGATTGTAGCCTTTCTATAAGGCCTTGTATTACTATGAGACTAGGAGACATCAAAATAATGCATATAAAACAAGTTTTCCCTATTACAATATCCTAAGTCACTGGCTAACTCCTAAGTAAAATCCATTGCTACTTTACACAAAAACTAAAGAGCAAGAATAACTACATTACTCAACAACTGAAGAAATGACACAAAAACCTACAGGTTAAAGTGTATCTAAAGGTGATCTAAAAATCCTTCTAAATGACATAAGTGCAAAGGAATACACTAGTGGATATGTGTATGCATTTGAGGAAAAAAAAGAAAAAAAAATTCCTTAAGACTACAGAAACTTAAAGGAGTAAAGAAAGACAAGTCAAAGTTCATGCGCACCAATGTGACAAGTGTGAAGCAGAACTCTGCAAAAATCCTCAATTAAACTCAGGATACATCTTTCTTATAAAAGCGAAGAAGACAAAATATTTGCTCTATCGTTACATTTCGCCCTTTGAAAGGAAGCCTGCTTAGAAACATGCTTTAGAACTTCTCTACAAACTCATAGGCACATTTAACTCCATTATGCACTCTCACTGGCAGATGGAGGAATGACGTTGAGCCTGTTCCCGGGGAGTTAAAGAGATGCTCCGTAGTAAGGGGAACATCTTGTGGACTGTCAGATGGCCAGCCTTTCTTCCTCTTCATTATCCTGGCACCTCAACAACCACAACAGCCAAAGACAATGTCAGTGGCTCTCAGAATACCTAGCATCAAACTAACTGTAAAACCGGGATGATGGAAGGCAATCTCCCTCAATTTCTCTCGAAAAAAAGGGCTAGTCCACAACTGAGTGAAGAAATCATAGAGCTTTTTTAAGCTAAATTCTGGACCTCCAAACACTTAAAGTGTAAAAAGACAGAAACACACAAATACGAAACCGAATGCATACTTTAAACTTCTGTATCATCAGTCCATGATTGGGACTCTTCCAACTTCTAATCTTGATTTCCAAGTACTTAACGCCACAAAATCGGTTACACCACTCCACCTCCCCCCCAACCCCCGCTACAAAGAAAGTAACTACAAACTGCAAAGAAAATGCCTCGACTCTTCCAACTTAAAAACCCAGTTTCAGACATTTTGGTCTTGTACCAAAGAAACGCGAGCTGTAAAATGAACTGCGCTCCATATCGATTCTTAAAGCAAATATGAAAAAAAAAAAAAAAAGACTAGGAATGGCACGTAAAATAATTCAAACCAAACTTCAGGCTTGACGTTCACACCTCAAGTCAAACCTGAAATCCTGGATCCCAGACACACAAATAAAACCAAGGTTTTTTTCCATCCTCATCCTCAACAGAAAATCTCGTGCAGAAAGTAGAGGAAACAGACTAAGCGCAATCCAGGAGAAAGGATTCGCAATTCCTCATTTCTCAACAGCAACAACAAAATTTTTTAAGTCAAATTGCATGAAAAGCTATTACACACAAATGCACTGGCATTTCAAAAAATTAAAACTGCATGGGAGCAACAATAAAAACCATTTCTATAGCACCACTCAAGGGCTCTAATTCCAGAACACACATCGATATGACAGTGCTGCAAAATTTGTATCAGGAAGGAAAGAAAATGGTTGGGTTACTGGACGTCTTAGACCAGCTCATTCAAACACCTTTAAAATTAATCAAGAGGCAAAGTACGAGGAAAAGAAAGAAAGGAAGAAAAGACGGAAGAATAAAGGTACACGAGCAGAAAAGATTAAGGGGGATGTGGAAGGCGAGGGCTCCCGAGACTAACCTGTGCCATCGCTGGCCGACGCCGAGAGGGCCGGAGATGAGAGTTTAGGCCGCTTGGCTGAAGGCGGCCCCGGTTCCACCACATTCTCGGCCATTTTTAATTCTTTCGGAGATGCAGGCGAGGAAAAGGAGAATCCTCGGGAAATCTCTTCTCCAGCTGGGGTTCCCCGCCCCGCTCCCTGGGGTGGGCTTAGGGGGCTCCGCCGGCCCCCGAGGCGGGTGGGGACAAGTTCCTTTTTCTCTTCGCCGGGTCGCGGTGGAAGAGGGATGCGGACTCGATAGGGAAACGTAGGGGCAAGTGAGAGGGGCCGGGCCTGAGCCCAGGCCCGGAGGAGGGCAGAGGGACACAAATCCGCCGACCGCGTCCGCTGCGGCGAATTCCCGAGAACTCGCGGCTCTAGAGACGCAGTCCCCGGCCCGCCACGGCCGGCCCCTGCCCAGCCGAGGTCTCTCGGAGCTCCGCCGCCGCCATCAGCCTCTTCCTCCTCGGCGCTGTCCTCCTCCTTCTCATCGCCACAAGGAGGCGGGGGCGAAAAGGGGGGAGAGGAGGAGGCGACGAAAGACACTCACCTCCTCCCGGTGCCCCCTCCCGGACCTGCGCCCCCACCCTCCCAACCCTCCTCCTGCCGTCGCGCTCCGCGCCGCCGCCGCACCGGCCGCTAATGGCCGCAGAGAGCTCGCCCGAGCCGAGAGCCAGGCTGGCGCCGCCGCCTCACATCGCGCGGAGGGCGGCGGAGGCGCGGCGAGGACGCCGGGCGCGGAGCTCGCCGGTCCAGAGGACCGAGGGGGCCGGGCTGAGTAGCGCCGCCCGCCCGCGCCGACGCCGAGTCCACCGAGGAGGCCCCGCTCCGGCGGGCGGCGCAGGCGGCCTCCCCTCGCTCCGCGCTCTCCTTCGCCCTCCTCTCCCGCGGAAAATAAATAAATACGGCCGCCGCTACGGCCCCCACCCGCGGCGGCCTGGTGCCGGGAGCGCCCGCCCCCCGGGGCTCCCGGCTCGGGGCCGCCCTCGGCGGCGGGCGAAGGCGCGGCGGGGCGCGGGGTTATGTAATGGTCTCCCCTAGGCGTCGACGACGGCCCGGCTCCCGGGCCGCGGTGGGGGTGTGTGCGGGCGGGAGGGGGCTGGGGGTCGCTCAGCCCGTGCGCCCCGGGCCCCCTGCCACTGTCTCGGCCCCTGCCGCCTCTCTCCGGCCCGGCTCCCCTCCGCGCTCTCGCTCCCGCAGTTCGCACTCAGCCCGGCGTCCCGCTTGCCCACTCTAGCCCGCTCCCTCTCGCCCTCTCTCCCCCCGAGCCTAGCACACAAACAAGATGGCGGCTGTTGTTTCTTCCCTCAGCCGAATCCTCCTTACAGGCTAGCGGTAGCGACGGCGGCCGGAAATGAGCCAAGGGGGGGTGTTGAAAAAGGGGGGAGGGGGTGGGCCTTCGGAGGGAGGTGGCGAGGGGGCGGGGCCTGGGTACGAGCCGCACACACAATGGGGTAAGAGGACCCAGGGGCGGGGCCAGTCCAATCACGGGATCCGCCCAAGGCCCCAACGCGGTTGGCGCTTCCGCAAACTCCCCCCGCGTCACCCGGTGGCTCACTTTAAAGGGGAGGATCTGAAAGGAGGGGCTCTGGGCGGATTCGGGATCTATTTTCAGTCGGTGGACACTTACGGGAGAAGGTCCCTGGGCTGGGTCTCGGCGTAGGGGACCGGTGGGTACCGGGGTAGACGGATCCTAGGAGCTACACCGGGAAAGGCGCCAGGTCACCGCGCAGGTGGCCGAATAGGAGCCCCTTGGGGATGGCCCTGCGCCCGGGGCCCTAGGGCGGCCGGTCTTCCGAACCCCCGTTGAATCAGCCAGACAGGGCTACCCCGCCGACCCGTGTTCCGGGCTAGAGACCTAGGGCGTCCTCTGTCCTCCATCGCTTTACAAAAGGGAACTGCTCACATCCCAAACCCACACTGATTACGAGTTGTTCCCTTTTTCCTTGAAATTCACAATTTTTTGACAACGCGCATGTGTTATTTTGGTAATCAGAAAAAAATCACAGCAGTGGGGAGAGGTTTTAGGATCAGACCTAAATTCGTTACTTGTCCACCACGTGTCCACCGGCCCTTACGCAGGTAGCACTTCGATCAGAATTATTGAGATTGAATTATTTTTCTGAATACTCCTGGGACCTGTATTTCTTTTCGCCCACCCCCAATAGGCGAGCTTAATAAAAGACCACGTCTGGGCAGTGCTGTAAAGATAATGTAATTATGGAAAAAAGCAAAAACGTAATGTGCTAACGGTAATGTAAGGATGGAAAAAAGCAAAAATGTAACTGTGGGGGAAGATTGCTAAATGTAAATGTAGTGCGGTGTGTGTGACAATACAGTTTTGCAGAGGAAGGCCACCCCAGCATGCTTCCACATTCCTACACATTGCAGGATTCCTCTGCTTGGCCCTGGGTAAACTGGGACTTGAGGAGGTGGCAAGGTTGTTGGCGCTCTCCAAGGAAACCCCCAAACGAATATCTGTGGGGGTAGGTAAAAGCTTTTTAACAGATTTCGAATATCATCCCCTTTAGCTGGTGTTTGCTCATTCTTGCATTTATTTTGATTTTGGTTGCAGCGGTTTGCTTTTTAAAATGAGTGATGAGGGGAATAGATAAAGCACTTAGGAGTGAAAATCCTGATGAAGCAACTCAAGTTGCCATCAGGATGAATTCTGCTGTGTAACTTTCAGGCCTAATTCACTCAAACTACAATAGGAAAAGGACACATTGAAAAGGACAGTACCTTTTTATCTTAAAGTTGTTATAAGATGGATTCAATTAGTAGGGCTAAGGTCAAAATTGGCTTTCAGGAATGATCCAGTGATTTTTCATAGTTTATAAGCCACATTCACAATGAAGAGGACAAACGAAAGAAATGTGGGCAACACTTGGAAACTTGGCCCATAATTTCCCTGTGGGAGGTTGCTCACCTGATTTTTTAAAGAGTTTCTGCCCTTTAGAAAAATATTTGCCCAGCTTTGCAGAGGATCCAACTTGAGTCTGGACAGCATTCAAACATACCCCACCTGCCTGCCCAAAATACTGTGAGACTAAGTACAGGAAGCCTATAAGCAGGTTTGGGGAACATCTCATGAAAACATTCCGTGGGGGGTCAGGGGCTGTGGACCTACCCAGAAGGGAAGGCTCCACTCTAAAGTGGGGATTTCCATGTATGGCGGCTCCTGCCTGGGTCTTTTCCCAGGACTCTGAAGTTAGCCTCATTGGAAGTGTCTGGAGAAATAAAAATGACACAAATGCAATCAAGATGAGATTTCAGATGGTTTCAAAAAAGTAGAATTGAATCATCAGCCTGGATTATATCTAGCCTAATCAAATGAAAATTTAATTTATTGTGGAATGCTATGGGTCGATTAAGAGTACATTCATGAAGAAGGAATCGCCTGTCAGTAGCTGGCAGTGGGGAGGTGGGAGAGGGAGACACATCAGACAGCAAAGACTGGTAGGTAAGAGCAGGGACACTGAGAGCAGCTGGGACTGGTTTTAAATTCTGGGTCTGTCACTTAGCAACTGTGCGACTTGGGTGGGCTCCTCATCTGTAAAAAGGATTTCTTGATGAGACCCACTATTGTTGTAAAGATTAAACATGATAATTTATGAATAATGGTTGTCAAAGTGCCAGGCACATAGTAAGCACTCAATACACCTTAGTTGTTTCTAATCACTGGTTCTAAAAAGGAAAGGATCTTAACCTAACTCAGAGTTGCCAGGAGAATGAAAATGAGATTATTGCATGTAAGGTGTTCAGCCGTGCCCACAGCCTGGCAAATTTTCTTGGACTAGCACACTGGCATCTGTCTCCTCAGTCAGAAGGAAGATCTCACAGGATCATCCAACTCCCTTTAAGACATTTTCTGTTCACCTTGAAACCTTCTGATGACTAATCCAGCTTCCCAAGTGCCTTGATTGCCAAAAAGGAGCCCCCTAGACAGAGAGCGCAGGAATAGGAGGGACACGTGTTATCCCAGGGTGAATCCGTCAGTTGCAACTGGACAAGATCCATAAGCACCAGGGTCTCAGCTGGTCCTTACCCCCTTTCCCCAAGATCTATACTCTTTGTGCCCCTTAGTCCTGTGAATAGTCCAGCTGTTCCCGTGCTCATCCAGTTGGCAATGTGGGCACCATCTGTGAATCCCCATAGTCCTCCCTATGCCTTCTTCCTCACACCCAGTCAAGTCCTGTGGACTCTATTTACTGAATTATCTTTCCAAATCAAATGGATGTTTAACCATGTGCAAGTATTACTGCCTCACAAAAATTAAATTCTTAAAAAGGGCTCTTACAGGTGTGACCTCAGTAAAGTTTTTCCAAAGCACTCGTCATCAAGGGAGGAATGTTTCCTGAACTTGGGCTGCTCCTGCAAATGTGAACATTGGATGGGTTGTGAAAGGGGTTGCACACCCATTAAAAGGAACTACTGGTTGATATAATCTTCTAGAATGTTGTCAGCATTTGCAAGAACACACTCTTATTTATTGCATACATTTAATAAAATACGTTTTGAAAAAAACTTTAATAGCCAACATTGGCAAGGATATGAAGAACTGGTGCCTTCATATACTGTTAGTGGGAATAGAGCATGGTACAAATGTTTTGTAAGACTTTGAAAATCCCAGTATTTCTAGAATGTATTCTACAAATACACAGAGATATAAAGAGAATGTTCTGTGTAGCACTGTCATTGTCCCTCCTCCACCCAAAGAAAGGGGGAAAAAAACCAATAGCCCATCTCTAGATGAATGGTTAAAACTACAGATATGATTCTACTTATATGAGGGGACCAGAGAGTCAATGATGAGAGCTAGAGGTTGGGAAGAATGGGGAATTGCTGTTTAATGGGGACAGACTTTCTATTTGGGAAGACTAGAAATTTCTGGAGATGGATGGTGGTGATGTTTGCACAACAGTACAAATGTACTTAATACCACTAAACTGTGCACTTAAAAGTGGTTATGATGGTAAATTTTATGTGTATTTTACCACAATTTATAAAATAATTGTAAATGTTTAAAATGATAAACTTTAGGTTACATATATTTTACCACAATAAAAACAAATAATGAAACATCTTAATGATGATGGGATCACTATGCAGTTGTTTAAAAATGAGTAGGTAAGTATGTACTACCACAGAAAGATAACCTTATAGCGCTAAGGTCAGAAAGAAAATTGTGGAACAGCAGGTCTCGAATGGCTCTGTTTTTTTTGTAATTAATAGTAATAATGGGTTAGAAGCTAAGAGAATATGCATCAAACTCTTAACAGTGTTGGAGTAATAGAAGCGTTACAGGGAGCTTTCATTCTACATTCTGAATGTCTGTGGTGTGCAAAATCAGCACCAAAAAGCATTTTCTAAAGACCTTCAATGGTTCCTCTTTGCTGTTAGGATAAAGTTCCATGTGTAAGAAATGGTCCTTGCCTACCTGCCTCATTTCTCTCAACTTCCCTTCTTGCAGCCAAGTGGATTTATTTTTCTTCTGTTTGCACCATGCTTTCTCTGTCCTTGGGACATTCACACACATATTCCTTCTGTCTGAAACA